CCAACAAACGGTATTAGCCTGATTGATGGGGACTCAAATATGGTAGCTGCCTGCCTCTGATGCTGGGAGCAGGGAGGGCTCAACAAAGAACGATGGCTTCCTCCAGCTTCTCTGTCTAGGAGAAAGCTGCCCCTCCAGTCCTTGCCCTGAATCCAGACAACTCATTTCCTCCCCATATGTCCCGGGCACCTTTGGAGCTGCTATTCCAGTGCTGGAACTCAGAGCAAGTGAGTTCGTCAGTGAGTAAGGCCATGTGCAAGCCGTTTAAGAGGAGCTCCTGGGACTGCAGCTACTCTTGTCTCACTCAGCCACAATCTCCTCTGGTTTTCACAGCCAGAAGCTATGGGGACTTCTCTCCCTGGCAGTGGAACCTTGGGCTGGGGAGCCTGGTGTGTGGCTAGGATCCTTCATTCCTCATAGGGGACCTCCACAGCCTAGATACCCCTCCCGATTATTTTTTAATTTTATTGGGGATTGGGGGAGGGGAACAGAAGTTGCTGTCTTTTTGTTCTTCAGTCTAGTTGTGGAGGACGCCGCTTCACTGGCCCAAGTTGGTATTATTGCGCTCTTCCCGGGTGAGGCAGGTCAGTCGCCGGCCATTGGTTGGCCACTCACGGTGGCTCTTGGCAGCTCACACCAGCTGCCGGCTGCTCACGCTGGCTAATGGCCACTCACGGTAGCCTACCACAGCCCACTGCAGCAGGGGCTGCATCCTACGCCGTCGCCCACGACTCACGGCAGCCCAGCTCCAGGTCGAGCTGTTGTTCACCATCTTAGCTGTAGAGGTCACAGCATCACTGGCTCTCATGTGGGATCCGAACCAGGGCCCTGCTGCTCAGAGCTGGTGTCCCAAGCCAACTCTTAACCAATGTGCCACTCGGCCGGCCCCCTCCCAGTGTTTAATGGTCACACATGGCTTTGGGACCAGCCTGCTCCGTTTCTCCGCCCCTCCTACCAGTCTCAAGGTGGTTTCTTCTGTATGTCTTTATTTGTAGGGCTTCGATTCAGCTAAACTTCAGGTAATTCTCAGTGATGGTGGTTCTGTAGTTTAGTTGTCATTTTGATGTCGTGAGAGGAAGTAAGCACAACTTTTACCTACTCCATTATCTTGACCAGAAATCACATCATTGATGTTTTTGAAAAATAAGAGGCCAGTTATTTTTTTAGAATGTCTTTTGATTGGGGTTTCTCTAGTGTTTCCTCATGATTAGATTTGGATTCTGCTTTTGGCCATTACTGTGTAAGGGATTTTGTCTCCTCAGTGTCACACCCAGAGGCTCAGAATGCCTGTTTGCCCTTTATTGGTGATGTTAATCTTGATCATTTGGTTAACGTATTGTGTGGTCTTTTCACTATATTTTGCCTTTTGTAACTACTGAGAATTTTGTGGAGAGTTAGGTTTACTATATTGAAGAGCTTTCCTTTATTCCCTATTTATTCATTCATTTATTATCCACATGGGCTGTGGGTTTCTGTTTTATTAAATGGGTTATGACCTGTTACTATCATTATTTTGATGTTCAAGTTATTTCTGATTTGGTCAGTAGGAACCCTCTCAAGCTGACTTCTGTGTCCTTGCAATATGCTGTGATCATATTTTGGGAGCACAGCCTTACCTTCTGACACAAGATGTTTGTGACAGGCTCATCTTTCACCTTCTCTAACCCAGTCCTGGAATCAGCCACTCTTCAAGAAGCCTTGGTTTCTTTTAGTTTGGAAACAGAATTTAGAAACCAAGATCTGGGCACTGTTAATAACGTATTTTAAACCTTAGTTTAACTTGTCAAATAAGAACCTGTCTCCGAAAGGCTGTGTGCTTAATAGTACCAGGAGTTTTTATTCTTTGCATGCTTATTCTGTGCCAGGCATTATGCTAGTGATTGTGCATACAATAGATCCTTCAATCATCACAGGACCTCTCTGAGAACATGCTTCCAGATGCCCAGGGTGACCAGACATGGGAGGAACAGATTTAAACCCAAGTTTCTGACTCCCAAGTCTGTGATCTTAAACCATAGTCTCTAAAGAAGAGGCATAGAGTAAACCTGTTATATCCTATTGCCTGTGGATGTTTCAGACCCTCAGCTGTGACTGCCAGATTTCAGGCAGGAAAATGAGTAAAAGGGATCAGAGGAAAAGATGGAGGCTCTACTATTAATGGTAAGGCAGAGTGCTTGCTGTGTACCTCACAACAGGTATTCTGTGATTGACAGTCCTGAGGCACCCTAACATTGCTTCACAGCCCTGGAGCTAGTGCTGTGTTTTGGCACAGGTGTGAGGAAATCCCCATAATTTGACTGTATAGTAGTCCCCTCTTATCCAAGGGGGATATGTTCCAAGACCCCTCCAGCGGGTGTTTGAAACCAAGGATAGTACCAAACCCTATGTATATTATGTTTTTTCTTATACATAACCTATTATAAAGGTTAATTTAGAAATTAGGCACAGTAATAGATTAACAACAATAACTGATAATAAAACAGAACAATTATAACAAACACTATAATAAAATTATGTGAATGGCTTTGGGCAATTATTAAGTAAAATAATCTGCGACAGTTGATCTGATAACCGAGATGGCTACTAAGTGACTACCAGGTGAGACGTATATACAGCATGGATGGGAAGGTTCATGTCCCAGGTGGGACAGTGGGATGTCATGAGATTTCATCACGCTACTCAGAATGGCGTGCAATTTAAAACTGTATTTCTGGAATTTTCCATTTAATATTCAGACTGTGGAGAACCATGGGAACTACTGTATTAAGAGCTCCTTTCCCCGAAGATGTCATTTAAGTTGGGCCCCTGGCTTATACCATCTGTGTTTCATTGTGGTTATTTGGGAAAGTTGAGTAAACTGCGTGCCTGACTTTGATTAAAACCTAGTTCACTCCAGTTACTGCCTTTGGCTTATGACAGGAACACAGCTCAGGGCTATTAACAAGCTCTGTGAGTGGGTGGGCCGTGAGGCTGTGGGGCTTGTGCACAGAACAGTCATTTTTCAGCTGGTGCAGCAGACAGAACACAACAGTAACAGGGGACATTGTTCTTAGACTTGGAATATGAGTCAAATAATACTGGCCTCTGCTGCTTCAGCCAGGACATGTGCCATTGTGAAAACACTTAGTTTATGTCTTGTTGATCTTACATAACAACCTCTGTCAGGGATTCTCAGAGCAGGTTGGGGAGATTGTGGCAAAGAAAGAAATGAGATGTAGCAGTAAGTGCTGGAGGAGAAGGGACTTGGCAGCAGCACAGCCCCCAAAACAGACATTTTAACTGTCATTTTGATTCACCATTTACTGAGATTCTGTTATGTGGTACGCAACAGGACAACATTCAGACATACTTGTCTTGTTTAATTTACTTCTTAGTAGTTCTGGGGAGTATGGGGTGGTTTGTGTATGGGTAAGAATGTGAGTTTAGTCAGATAGGCCGGCGTTCAAACCCCAACCAGGCTGCATAGGGGCAGCGTGACCTCAGGCAAAAGAATAGAGTGGGTAAGGGCGTGGTCTCTTGGAACAAATCTGCCTCTAATGAGCTGTGCTGCTTTGTCTCCAGTGGGGATGGTGATAGTATCTATCTCATAGGATTGTGTGACATTAAATTAGTTGCTGTGTGAAATCGCCTAGGACAGTAGTAAGTGCTCAGCAAAGTTAGCTTTGTTATGTTGTGTTTTTCCTTACTTTGTAGGTGAGGGAACTGAGGCTCAGGGGAGCCAGGAGACTTAGCCAGGGTTACACCCCTGACAAATGGCAGGGCAGTGCCTCAAATATAGGTTCCCAGGCCTGTTCACAGGTGTATCTGGCATTGTGAGCCTGGGTCAGACCCACGTTTCTCTCTTAGGTAGTATAACCATACCTGGTGTTCATTTGTATTGTAGCACCAGAGGTTAGGATGTTCTTCAAGGCAAGAAGAGGGTGTCAAGGACTTAGAAACTGGAAATTTGCTAAGAAACTGGGTGTGCTGGGCCTGGAGCAGATTTATGGGAAACTCGAGCCCTGTTACCCCTGAGGGTAGAGCATGGGTAGTAGGTTGAAGCTCTAGAAACTTCCAACTCCAGACATGGCTGGGGTAGCCCCAGAGTGTTGTTAGTCTTTCTGTACTCTGGATGTCCAAGCAGAGGCTGGGAGGTCTGTTAGCACTTGAAGACAAGAGCAAGTGAGTATAAGATGGCAACAAGCCAGTGAAAACTGGGGAAACAGCACACCTATCTTCAGTGTGGGCTTGAGCCATTCTAAATAAATTGTAATCATCTTCCATCCAGAAGACTCATAAAATAAGCTACTTTTTCTGGTAAATGTGCTACCTGTTGAGATTGGCACTGGCCGGTTTGCTTCACCTTCCCGTGCCAAGCCAGTCTCTGTGCCAGCTCTTGCCTCACACCCCTCTCATATTCCGGGCCCTTCATACAGGCATTGCCACCCCCACTTCTCAGTCCTAGTCACCCAAGCCAGAGGGGCCCTTGTAGAGTGTGCAGTCTGGGAGGATAGGAACTGCATCTGGTGTGTGCCCATGAGCTTCATGGTGCCTTTGCAGTCTTTGTGCTGGGCAGGTGCAGGAGAGGACACAGCGTTCGGACAGGCAGTTCAAAGCTGTTTCAATTAGAGTTTATCACCACTGAGTACGCTTCACGTGCTGGTGGGAGGCAGTATAGCAATTCGAGCTCTGGAGCCTAGCCAGCTGGACTCGAATCTGGAGTCCCTGCATTCTGGCTGTTTGACTTTGGAGAAATGCCTGGGTTTTTTCTTTTTTTTTTTTTTCTGTAAAAATGAGAAAGCTCATACCCACCCTGGAGGTGCTGTTAGGACCATATATGTAAAGTGTTAGCACAGTCCCTAGCACACATATATGTACTCACATTCCCCTGGCTTCGCCTGGCTCCTTTATTTCATGATGTTAGCCTCTGTTTTTGGACTTCTCTCCCACCAGCCAAGGGCCCCTCTTTGTACCCCTGTTCTCTGCTGGCCCTTACTGACCAGTTGGTGATTCCCTTCCAGATGTCCAACATCACGGTCACATACAGAGATGGCCGAGTGGCACAGCTGGAGCAGGTGTACATCCGTGGAAGCAAGATCCGCTTTCTGATTTTGCCTGACATGCTGAAAAATGCACCCATGTTAAAGAGCATGAAAAATAAAAACCAAGGCTCAGGAGCTGGTCGGGGAAAAGCTGCTATTCTGAAGGCCCAAGGTAGGTATTCCTCACACGATGGTTTAACATACGAGTCTGTTGTGTATCTTTTAAGAAAGGGCCCTATTATTACCTAGGAATGGGGGTGGACTTGACCTCAACCATCTTCACACCCGCTGCAGCCTTGGGGCCCTTACCTGCGAGGGGCTGAGGGCCTTGTCCTGCCCTCTCTCTTGCCTCGCCTGATTGCATTCTTAAGGCATATGCAAAATCCACAATGGCTCCTTCGAAAAAAGGATGGGGAATCCTGTCTTAAGCGAAAGAGTAGATAAGTCTCATCTCTAAGAGGCCCTTTATTTTCATAAATTATTTCCAACGGCCTGGGGGAAGCTTGCTCTTGTCTAGTCTGCTGAACAGGGCACTGCCATATGGATTAGCTTGACTTTTTTTTTTTTTTAATTTTTATTTTATTTTATTGGGAACTGCCATGGTCATTGGTTATGCTACAGTGACAGAATTGACTCTTTTAAGGAGGGTATAGCTCACAGTGGCCCATGCGGGGATCAAACCGGCAACATTGGTGTCATCAGCACCATGCTCTAACCAACTGAGCTAACCGGTCACCCCCTGGATTAGCTTGACTTCTGAAGCAACAGGGCAGCAGTTTCCAGAGAGCCTGCGGATGTGTGTTGGTACTCCGCATAAACCAGTGGAAATGCTGATGGTGGTGATCCATTGTCAGACCAGAAGTTAGCAGTGTTAAGCCATCTTGACCCTTTAAAGGGGTTGGACTTCTATCTTGAAAGCTTCTCATATTTGAAAATAAATCCTTCCTTTAGCATATTCTAAAAGTGAGACTAACCTTTTCCCAGTGACTTAGTCTGACCTTTCTTCTGGCTTAGCCCAATAAGAGGTTTTAGATTTGGGCCCGTGGAAAGTTCTGCCATGTTGATTAGCTAAGAAAGCAAGTATAGTCGTTAGAATCTGTCTTGACATTGCTAAAAATTTACAGTTCAGGAAAGTCACTGGATTCCCCATCAGTATCTTTAGCTGCTGTACATACTTTTGAGATGTGAAGTAGCTTTTGAGTTTAAAGATGCAATAGAGTATTCTTTTAAAATGCCTTCCCCGGCCAGCCGAGTGGCTCAGTTGGTTAAGAGCTCGCTCAAGAGTGTGAGCTCTGAGCAACAGCGGTTCGAGTCCCAGCCCGAGCTGAGCTGCCAACAGGTGGCAGATGGCTCAGTTAAAAATAATAATAAAATGCCTTCCAAAAAAAAACTGATCAAAGAATCTTCTTGCCCTTCCTAGAGAAGAGGCATTTATGGGGAGGTAGAACCAGAAGCTCTGGAGCTTTTGTCCTAGAGAAGGAATGACTTCAGAAATGCCAGCTTTCTTGCTAGAATTGCTACTCTCTTTGCTTTCTCAGGGAAGGGCTATCCTCAATGTCACTATGTGACTGCATCATTTTCTGTAGCGAAAGGTGAAACCCAGTGGCTGTGCCCTAGAAGGCACTTGACAGTGAGTTTGCCCAGGCCCTGTGGCTTCTGCCTGAGCCATCTGTGCCTCTCCCAATCCCATGCTCTGGTCCTGACAGCATGTGTCTGGGTTTTCAGGTGAGTTCCCTCCCTCTTCAGGGCAGCTCCAGGCTCTGAAAGTGGAGAGAGGGGTGGGGCTCCAATTAATAACCATGAGAATATTTTCACCTGTCCTTCAAAGCCTGGAGCCCTTGGGTCACAAAGAGCAACACTCTTGTATGGAGAGTGATTTTGGATTTTTGTGAGTTTTTGTTTTTCTTGTTTTTTGTTTTGCTGTTACAGAACATTTCATACAGGCAGAATTGCTCAAAGATAATGAAAGCCCTCACCCAGATTTAGCAGATACTAACATTTAACTATATTTGTTTCAGATTTTTTTATATATATATAATTTTTTTATTTATTGGGGAACAGTATATTTTTCCAGGACCCATCAGCTCCAAGTCAAGTAGTTGTTTCAGTCTAGTTGTGGAGGGTGCAGCTCCTTGGTCCATGTAGGGATCGAACTGGCAACCTTGGTATTATGAGCCTGCACTCAGAATTTTAAGTGTGAATTAAATGCATCTGTCATGTTTTATTAGCCCGCCCTAGGCCAGCTCTGGGAAATCATCTTTTCTATGGTTCTCAGACTTACTTCCCAATCCACCTTCACTCTCAGTGCCATTTGCCAGCTTCTTTAAAGAGTCTGGAAGACAAGAGCCTGGTGCCCGCTTTCACTTTGACGCCAGGCTCCAGGCCTCGCCCCTCTGTCTGGGTTTCCATTTCCCCTGTGAAATGCAATGGGCTGGGCGTGGTGTGGGGCCAGGTGGCCTTTCAGGTCCCTTCCCAAGCCCGTGTTCCCGGGCTCCAGCTGCCCTGTGGCATGAGTACTCACCACACTAACCTGGCCGCCTTCTTTCTCTTCCCCACCTTTCAGTGGCCGCGAGAGGAAGAGGACGTGGAATGGGACGTGGAAACATCTTCCAGAAGCGAAGATAAATTTATCTGTTGAACAGAACTTTGCCGTTATTTTTTTCTTTTAGGTTATTTGGGTTTGCTGCGGTGTGAAGAAGTATGAAGTGTGTGCTTATGTATATGTTCTATGTTTTCTTTTGACATCTGCTTGAGATCGGGAGAAATGTTAAAATAAATAAATGTAGTTTTTTCCTTTTTGATTATGTGTTCATTTTGGAGTTTGGTGTTCTGTTTGCTGTGGCAGCAGGTTAAATTTTGACGCCCTGGGAAAATGCCAGTACTTGAAAGTTGCACAGTTATTGATACGAGTTTAAGTTGCTGTTCCTGGTCGTTGGCTGGTTAAGCCCTTAAAATCTCTGCAGGGGCCGGCCAAGTGGCTCAGTTGGTTAAGAGTTGGCTTAAGAGAGAGCTCTGAGCAACAGGGCCACCAGTTCGATTCCCACATGGGCCAGTGACGCTGCGCCAGAGCTGAGCTGTCGCTAAGATGCCAACAGGTGGCAGGATGGCTCAGCTGGTGTAACAACAAGATTGCCTGTTCAATGAATGGTAGGCTACGCGCACCCACAGCTAAGACTGAACTCAGCATCTTGAGCTGAGCTGCCGCCTGGATGGCTCAGTGAATAGAGCGTGTGCTCTTAACAACAAGGCTGCTGGTTTGACTCCCACATGGGATGGTGGCAACAAAGATTGAACATAGCACCTTGAGCTGAGAGGCCACGAGCTGCTGAGGAGCCAGATGGCAACTGATGCCCTCCACAACTAAGCTTGAAGAACATCAGCTTGGCTGGTCCCCTTCCCCAATTCCCCAACACTGTTTCCCTCCCCCAATTCCCCAATAAAATCTTAAAACAAAAACCTGCAAGCGCACAGACTGTATGTGTCATATATCTTCTGACATAGGCACTACACGGTACTTTGTTCAGGTAACCTTTGTGGAAATATTACCAGCTTATCTTGTACAACACGACATGAGTGGTCCTGGCCTTTGACAAAGTCTGGTACTCTGACCTCTGAACCTGGAAACCCCAGTGGTTCTACATTTGGCAGAAGTAATCTAATATTAAAAGGTAATTCAGGGCCGGCCGAGTGGCGTGTTCGTTAAGAACTGGCTTGGGACGTCAGAGGGCCCCGGTTCGGATCCCACATATGAGGGCCAGTGACACTGCCCTCCACAGCTAAGATGCTGAACAAC